TACCCAAACCACTGAATTTTGGTGGAAAGATGTGGGTTTTATTCTGGCTGCATGTATGCTGACATCTTTTTATTGGAATGCTCATATTGTTGTGCAAATAAACAATTGAAGATTTCCTATTCATGGTGGTCATGTCAATAATCAAGTTTACAATTTTTTTACTATTTAACGTTGAATTATCAAAAACTATAGACCTACATCAGAGGTGGATAAGATAACTCCTACCCAATATGGATAGGAAATCATTTCTAATTATTTACTTACACTACCATTTCATTAATTTCTTTGTAGAATATGTGTTTCTCATATAATTGCATATTATACAATTATTCGGGTTTCATAACTTGCTTATTTATTACTATATATTGAGCGAATATCTACATAATTTAGTATAAATATGAATAATTGTAGGTAAAATCTCAAGTGATATGAAAAAGGGCATTTTGGAGCTTAATTAGGGTTGGTTTGAATCGAATTAAAAATAAATCGGAGGACAAATGATCAACTAAAAGATTTAATGGAGCATTCAGAAGAAATTCATAAGTTTCGAGAGTTGAATTCAATATTTGAAAAACTTAAGGACTTAATTGCAAACTTTCGAAACTGCGTTGAATTGATTGGGAATGATTATGCTAGGTGGAATATTAAATTGTAAAGATTGAAAGATGAAGAATCCAAATTGCAAATATAAAATATTCGAACTGAACAAAGGAGGAAAAAAAAGAGACCAAAATGGACGAAAATGCAAACTTTTGCCTTGCAATCACAAGGCACTAGCCCTTGCGATTGCAAGGACTTAAGATGCAGAAAAGAAGGCAAATGGATTGTGCCATACAATTGCATTATGTTACCTTGTGCGGTCGCATGGTAATAATCGCCATATACAATTTTGTTTCCTTGTTCAACTCAACTTTCACTTGAAACACAATTAAGACATAATTTTTATCCCAAATTTCGAGGATTTGACAAGGGTACATATAGAACACTTCATCAAACATATCTCGTTTGATTGAGAAGAAAAATGAATTAAAAACCTAGAAAATATATTGAGAATGATATCTCAGAAAATTATTTTAAAAATGTGAGAAAGTTGAGGAATTACCATGAAACTAGCCGAGCTAGGGGTGTCTTTCAAATTGGTGATTGCCAATTTTGTCAAAGAGAAAAGTGACGCTCACCAGAGACAGGGGGTGCTAGGTATTAATATTGTGAGAGAAAGAATGGTCAATTTCACATTAATTTTAGAATACGTTTTGATTTCAGGCTGGGTCTACTTCTATGAGTTTGGTAGGTTTGGACCCTAAACCTACTCGACCTATATAATTTCAAATATGACTATGCCATATCCAACTGGAAATAATCCCAAAATCGACCCCAATCGATTTGAGTTTTCGAGGCAGATTTTTTGCCTGCCCTTACTCACATGCATCACATTCTTTACTTAGCTTCTACTTTTCTTATATTAACACGAAAACAGCAAAATAAATTGACCCCTCCCCTTCAAATTCATGTACTATAATTAAGTTCTAATTATTAGTAAAATTTTGGCATCTAGAAAAGGGTATTTTAGGTATTCCAATCCTAGTAAAACTGAAACGGGTGCATATCTTGTCAAAAGACAAATGTAATCCACTGGTTCCCAAAGTATTTCTTGGGTTACTGTCCCCAGTTTTACACTAGCTTTCTTCTTCTCGGGATGTCCGCAACACCACCCCACTCAACCACACCCCACCGCTCTATGTATATATATGGTATCCATCTATCGTTTACATTGCCCACTGAAGCTTAGACCATCGTCACTTTACCCCCCTAAAATGCATCAACTCTGTTAATTAATCCCTTTCTTTCAGTCCCATAAACACACAGAATTACATACACGTAGATATATATAAAATGGCAGAGCTAGAGTATCAACGTAAAGCATGCCATAACAGCACAAGTAATGGAGTCTTGAAGCTCTTTGGTTTTAACGTAACAGAAGAAGAAGAGGTAGAATCCACCAAAAGAAGATCAGGGTCACAGGAGTCCGGTGTTTTCCCGACCTCAGACGGCCGGAAATACGAGTGCCAGTACTGCTGCCGGGAGTTTGCTAATTCACAGGCCTTAGGTGGCCATCAAAACGCCCACAAGAAAGAGAGGCAACAATTGAAGCGTGCACAAATGCAAGCAAACAGAAACGCCACCGTGTCTTATATGAGAAACCCTATAGTCTCCGCCTTTGCTCCGCCGCATCATCTACTTTCTCCGTCGGGTCCGGTGGTTCTTCCTGCTGCCGTGCAGCCTTCTCCGTCGTGGGTTTATGTTCCACGCGCCGCACCTCCCTTCCATGTGTCGCATGGGTGCGTGTTTCCTGCTAATACAACTGGGAGGGGTGTAGGGAACTCATCGTATGCCAGCAGTGCAGGGGAGTCCAGCTTGACAAGTGTTGCGGGTCAACCCGTCAAAGCCCGTAGAGGGAAGCTAGATGGGCCTTCATTGAGTCGATTCTCTAGACCGGATGATGGGCCTAATTTTGATGATACATTCGGGCTTGACTTGCATCTCAGCCTAGCGCCAGCCGAGCCATAAGTTTAGCCGAGATTCCGCGACATATTAGACAGGGAAGATCGCATGTTACTGGACAAAATTGCATTAAAAAGACTAGTTAAAATCTTGTTCAGTATATTGTCCAGTCCAACCCGTGCACAGAAAGGTACTACATGGCTTGGGAGTTCAGACTCGAGAAAAGGTTGGCTTGGCTAATCAGCTAGCTGAAAAGCCGATGTTAAATTTATGAGTAGTCAGAGTTTGTACATTTTAAGATTTATTTCTAAAGGAAAATTTTCTACATACACTGGCGATCTTATTATTTTGATTCTGAATTTCTGAATTATAGTTTTTAAAATGCTTACTATAATAAAAATGGTACAAACAGTACATTACCAAAAAGAGGAAAAAAAAATAGCACCTGATGAAAAGAATATTTTGAGTTAAATAATAGAAAATAATAATATAGAATTAAAAATAATAAAAAAATCCGGACGTCTTTTAATCAATTTTCTTTTTATGGATAGGAAATTCGGTACGCTTAAGTAGCCTGTGGTCGTTTGTTAATATTTAATGATCATTAGGAAATTTACGTGTAATATATTTTATAAATTTTCGTTATCTTCTGCGTATTGAATGGGAAAGGAAGGCACCGTTTGTTTTTTATTAAAATTGGATTTTTAATAGATTGTGATAAAAGTTTTTGAAATGTGTGGTTGAAAATTTGTGGGACCCATAAAAGATGTGGTTAATATTGATTGTTTGATTTTGACTTGAATTAAAATCAGATTTTAATCCGGACCAAACAGGGGCTAAACAAGTTATGCACGTCCGATTCACTTTAGACCAATCGGAACATTTATATATGTACTCTGAAGACTTAGTGTAATAAATTTCATAATAATCAATCGAGCTTACAAAATAAATCACGAGCGTATGATTTGCTATCAATTATTAACAATCATGAAAAGCACTATGACAATTTTGGGGACCGATGGAGCCGAATGAACACACTGGAAAACAAAACAATAGAAATTAATTTGGATTGGATGCTTTTCTTATCCTTTGAAATTTTGGTGACAATAGGTGTCTAGCACTATGCTTGGAAAAGAAAATTAGAGAGAGAAGAAAACGAGAGGAAACATCGAAGGAAAATGATCGAATAAGATGTGACTTTTTGAGAACTTCTGCAATGCTCGACTTAGGATATAATTTTCTTAGCGAACGTTATCGTATAGAGTATAGACACAATGTTTGGAAAAGAAAATGAGAGGAAACGTGGAAGGAAAATGATCGAATAAAATGTGACTTTTTGAGAACTTTTACACACAATTGTTACTTTACCCTACTTTAATTTTTAATTATCAGTTAATAGTCAATTCTTATTTTACAATGACAGAAAACTTTTCTTATATTCTAATTTCTCTATCAAAATAGATTAATCTAATTTTTACCTATAACCCTACTATTTTTTCTATGAAAGATACGCAAAGATCAAAATACAAAACAAATTTAAAATATTCATCTACACTAAGCATAGATGTATATCTGCATAGATGTATATCTGTATCTTCCATAGGTCTTAATGTTATTTGTTATTTAAATTAGAAATACATATTCCTTCTCGATCTCAACACGAATCAGATGACTACCCTAAAATTTGTCAAATAATAAGATATCGATCAATTTAGATCAATTTAGTAATAAATAGTCAACCAACACAAGAAATATAACTAAAAAAAACAATCAATTTAGAGATGAAAGAGTTAACAAGGTTTCATTTGTAATCCTAGTAGCACAAGTTTAGTCCAACATGGTTAAGAATTAAAAATCAACCAAGCCTTAAGGGAATTCTTGCATTTATCTCCAAGATTTTATGTATGATGTTTGGTGTGTTTCTTGGTGTTATGAGGCTTGACTTCAATCTCGAAAGCCCTAAAAACGAGTCCAATATACCCTACTTCTCTCAAAATTAGGTGTTCAAGAAACCCTAACTTTTTATTCAAGACTTCGATAACTTATCGCTCAATAGCTAACTACCATTCTCCGGGTGAATACTTTCCCTTCTCATTTCTTTCCCACCCATTTCCTTTCATCCTAAAATTTCTCAATCCAAAGGGCCCCTATCTTGAAACAGGGATTTCCAAGCATGATCATAGATTAGTTGAAAACCAGTGAGAAAAAAACAAGTTTCTTCTTGGACATACAAGTAAACAAAATACAGCAGAAAGTGATTGACAAGGCAAAGATCAAGAAACTATAAAATGAATTCAATTCCGACAACCAAAATATTGGGTGTTGGTTAGTGTCCCATTAAATTTCCTTCATCATCAGTGCGTTTATTAATAGATGTGACAACCACTCATGTAATTCAATCAAGAAAACCCCTAAACTCTTGTGTTGTGGGACTTAGACAAGTCACCTTCAAATTTAGTTTTATTCACACAAATAGAAGCTAAAAGCCAAAGGGACCATTCATGTGCTGGCAGCGTACGATATTTGCTTGAATTTCAATGCTCCTTAACTTCGTCTCATGCCAAAAATTTAAGGTTGGACATTATTTGTGTGGCCTACAAAAATAACAAGTAACTTGGTTCGATTAATTCTAAGTTGTACGAACTAATTATTCAACATATTAAAGTGTATTTTAATGTGTTGCACCTATATATTCACAGAATCAATTTTTATTCATGGGCTAAAATGTAGTTCAACTAAACATGATACAACTTATTTTTCAAGAAATCAATTATTTGCATATTAATTTATAAGTTTTGGGTACTTCTTATAATTTTGGAAAAACCAATGAATTTTTCCAAATGATTGATCAGATCCCTAGGAGTTTTTGGGTGATTATCAAATACCCAGTTAACTCTCTTTCATCATGATACTCTTTTACATAGATGAAATAAAATTAATACTACTTATTTGAGTTAAAATAAATAAGTTGTCCTATGATAAGTTCATAGGTCACTTGATTCCTGTAATTTAGCTAGTATCGACGACAATGACAAGCTAAGATTGTTAGAAAACTGGATTTATAAATTGCGAAATGGGTCGACTTTGGGCTCAAATTTAAGTAGAATTCATAATCCAAAATTAAAAAGACCAAGTTTATTCGTGTTCTACTTCGCGAGAGGATTAACGTGATATTTTTTTTTTTTTATCCAAAATCATTTGATTTTGAATGAAATATTTTGATTCAAAGTAACCCACTAGAAACTTGGTATAAGGAAGAATTTGATCGAACTGTTATGACTTATCTCACATAGGAAAACTTAAAAGGTTTTATTTTGTTTAAATAGTGAAAGCTCGGCAATTGAGTGTGCAATCCAAGGGATATCACTTGTCTTTCGAAGGGGAGACCAAAATCATATGGGATTTGGATCCCTCTTGTGCACCGTCGTCACGTCCGATTGGCACCTGCACAAGTTTGGTCCGACTCAATTCGATGCGGTGCGGGGTCCGTTTGTCATTTTCCCCGGGCTTTTCTAGCTGTATCTGACTGTCTGTTTGTAATTGACTTAATAGAAGCTTCTGTTCGTATAGTAATGGGCCTGAACAGTCACCATTGTTCGTGAAGAAGCTTTTTAGGCTATTTAAATGGTCACAAACACTCTATACTTCTATGCCAGAATTATTACACTAGTTTCCTGTTGTATATGTACGAATACACATTGAAATATAAACACCATGACATACAAATACAGTACATATATTCTCTTCCACAAAGTTGTGTTCATTGAAACTCTTGCTAATTGATGTGTTGTTTCCGCAAGAGGATAAATTCATTTGAAGGATAAATAGTAAATTCGATGGGCTCGAATTACAATTACGTTTCGATTTTTGTTCGTGGTTCAAACCCGTGTTTGATCTTGTTCATCATCTCGTACATGTTCAAGAAGAGAAAATGTCTTCATGTTTGTTGGAAAGAGAGATTTGATAATCCAAAAAATAATAGACATACGATGGCGGTATTAAAACAAAGATTAATTCACAAACTTCGAATACATTAAATGAATTATTTTGTCTATTAGAACATTATCTAACGTTCTTCTAAGGACCAAATTTTCAATTATTTTGGTATTGCTAAATTCTTTAAAGTTGGAACTCATAGATAATTGTTGGCTAATTATATACATATCTAAAACTTGATATCCCTTTTAGACGAGACCAACTTTGTTATAGGTAAATTGTTACACGTCAAGATTGGCATAGAGAGTACTAGAAAGTTGCAATATCATTGTCAAGAGCAATAACTCAAGTACAATTATAATGTAAATAGAATAGAAATTATTGCACCAACATATATATACAAAAATCTATTATATGTATTTCTCTTATAGCATCTTGAATTTCAAGATCTCATTTTCCCCATTGAATCAATTTGACAAACGGTCAAGATTGAGAATTGTCGTGATCGAAATCTGTCAACTACTAACGATTTTGAAAAATAATTTCAAAAAATGCGAAGCACATGGCGAAAAAAAAAAGGATGGGAATTTCTTTGGACACCCTTTGGAATTGGATTTTGCTCTTAATAAAAATGAGAATAAAATTTTTATGCCCTCTAAATTTTAACGGTGAGTTGATCTTATCATCACACTGAACGTGAAATTTAAGTGACATGTGATGCCATAATGTACTTGCTTGTATTTAAACATCTTTATGGAGTTGTCTATTTTAAAATGAGTAATAACAAAGTGGAAAAACATTATGTGACCTAAATTTCTTTTTCCTATTCACAAGCCCTTTTCAAACCTCCATTTACAAGCACAATGTCACAAACTTCACCAAATGATGTGTATTTCTCCATACCATTTTAAGGATGCAGAGAGTGCCACATGCCCACTTCTTCCAGTTTGTGTTTTTGTGCAGTTTAGATCCATACATCTTGCAGCATTCATATTCAGTAATTCTATTGATGGAGACATGCTAACTTCAATCCCATGTTCACTTCACCCTCTTATTAATTATAGTATTGTACTTGATTGTGGTGTCATGGGATTCCTTTACTTTGTTATTGCTAATGATCATTCTTGGTC